GATGGAGGGTAGCCTCTTACAATGGATCCCTCATCCGGATCGTAGTAGCGTTGCAGAAGCTGCACGCAGGTGGACTTGCCACAGCCCGAATGCCCTACCAATGCCACCGTTTGACCCTTGAGCACCTCCAAGTCCAAACCCTGTAGGATCTGGGCATCGGGTCGTGTGGGATAGCGGAACTCAATGCCGCGATAGCGCACGCCCTCGAAGAGATTCAACTGCTTGGCGAGGGTGTTCCGGATGGTGCCCATGGGCGAGACGATCCTAGGTCTGCGATCGAGGATCTGGAAGAGGCGATGACCGGCCACTAGGGCAGCCGAGAAGGCGGGGGTAAAAGCCAGCGATTGGGCGAGCATCATGGAGCCATAGAGAAGGGTTTCCGAGACTCTACACGGGAGGAGAGAGTAGCGTTAAAAGTTCTCCAAAGGTTAAGAGCCAATGCCCTCACTTGATGATGTCCTGGAAGGGCAGTTGTCCCTCGGAGACCAAGACGCCGCCATAGCAGAGGGCCACCGCATAGGCAAAGAATGCGGAAGCCTGCATCGTAGAGTTGAGAACGCCCCGCCAGCGCAGCTTCTGCTTGATGAGACCCTCCACGCGGTGGATCTCCTGCGTGTACTCGCGAATGACATCCGCCTCCCGCCGGAGTCCTGCCACAGTGCGAATATTCGTAATGGATTCGGTGGCAATGCGACAGGCCTCCTCAATGACTTGTTTCTCACGCACAATGGCATTGGACATCATCCTAGCGAATGAATATAGTGAATAATGGATGAATCAACTGAATCAAATGAATAATGGAACATTTACTTGGCCTCCAGGATGACAGAGCCGATGATAATCGGACAATTGGCGAGGCAGAGGAGTGCCAGCTTCCAGTTGTAGTACATGGCTACGGTGACGCTCGAAATGAAGTTGGAGAGAGCCTGAATCATGCCACTCAGCGGGTAGCCAATGGCACCCTGCACACCCGCAGCCTCCCCCGACAAACGAGCGGACAGGGCGCCCACAGAGTTGTCTTCATCGTCGAACCATCCCACCTCTTGGCTCACCATCGCCTTGAAGGTCATGGCCCTCATTCGTGTCGTCAGCCAGACGCCTGAGTAGTTGAAAAGATAAGTCTGAAGGAAGCACACGAGTCCCGTGACAAACGCGAGGCCCAGGCATGCCCATGAGAGCACGGCGGTGCGACTGAGTGCATCCTCGGGGTCCTCTTCCGCGAGTGCGGCATAAAATTCACCAAAAATGATGGCAAATGCCGGATACAGGCAGCCCACGGCAATGGCACTGATTGTGCCAAGTATGAGGTAGCACCATTCGGGGCGGGAGAGCTTTACGATCCTCGCAAATGTGCGGAAGAAATTAGGTTTCTCGGCGGCAGTGGCAGCGTCTTGCAGTTTGATGGAATTCGTGTCCTTGGGCAGGGGCTTAACGATGGGTTCGTCGAACTGCACGCTGTTCTCCTTGTGCGAGCTCTTTTCAAAGTTCAAGGGACTCGTCTCGAAGGATTTCTCGAGCAGGGCAAGGCTTTTGCCTGTGGGAATGGAGTAATTGTGATATATGTGTCTCTCTTCCCTTTTCCCATACTTACGTTTAGCATCGATGGTCGTCTCCTCCTCTTTTTCCACTTCGTCGGGCATGTGGATATCGCCGGCACGCACCATTCGGTAGTAAGCAGACTCCAGGGCCATCAGATCATCATGGGATCCCTCCTCCAGCACCTTGCCATCCTGAATGAAGACAATCTTGTCGGCGCCGCGAATGGCAGACAGACGATGCGACACCACAATGGTGGTGCGTCCCTTGCTGGCCAAGTCCAGAGCCTGTTGCACCTGCTTCTCCGACTGGTAGTCCAAGGCGGAGGTGGCCTCATCGAGAAGCAAGATCTTGGGGTTTTGGATGAGTGCTCGGGCAATGGCAATGCGCTGCTTCTGTCCGCCCGAGAGTTGGGATCCCCGCTCACCGATCATTGTGCGATAGCTCTAAGGGGAGGAGGAATTCGGGATACAGAAGGGGAAATGTTGAGTTGTCGCTTTCCACTCACCTCTGGCAGTCCTGTGATAAATTCGTGTGCCCCCGCTTGTGCGGCTGCTGCCTCGATTTCCTTCTGTGTGGCCATGGGCTTGCCGTAGCTGATATTTTGGGCAATTGTTCCCAGGAACAGCACCGGCTCCTGTCCCACCACCGCGATGTTGGAGCGCAGCCACTGGATGTTGTACTTGCGGATGTCCAGGTCGTCGAGCATCACGGAGCCAAAGACAGGATCGTAGAACCTCTGTAAGAGTTGCACGCACGTAGACTTGCCACAGCCCGAAGATCCCACTAGGGCAACTGTCTGCCCCGCTCGTATTCTGATGTTTAGACCCCGATGGACGATGACTTCGGGACGGGAAGGATACCTGAAGAAGACATCCTGGAACTCCACATCGCCACGCAGGCCGTAGTTGAGGAGTTTCCCGTCGGTGGACAGGGGATCGATCTTTGATTGGAGATCAATGACCTTGAACAGATTGGTGGCACAGCCACGGGCGGTGGCAAATGACTCGAGGAAGGGTGCAGTTCTCGCAATATTATCCGCACCCACAATGATGCCAAAGAAGGCAATCATGAGGATTGCTGGAGTGTACTCCTTGTCCTCCACGCCACGATCATCGATGATGAGATTGACGCCGTACCAGAAGGCGCCCGCACACGACAGATACAACATGGACTTTAGGAGTGCGTCACTGAGCCCCGAGAAGGCGCCTTTCCACTGACTCGCCTTCCGTGCGGGCACCAGGAAGTTTTCGTAGCGTTGCACCTCCGCCTTCTCCCCGCCAAAGGATACGACGGTGCGAATGGCACTAAGGATCTCCTCGGCCAGATTTCCTGCACCCGCATACGATTCCTGTTCTCTGGCTGTGAGTTTTCCTTGGAACTAGCAAAATATATGAATGTATCTGGGTATCTTTTAGCTTAAAGATGGGTTTTTGGTTACCTTTGCCACATAATAGTTGACAAGAATGACGAGGGGAATGTAGGAGCTGACAGCGAGTGTGAGTTTCCAGCCATAGCTAAAGGAAATGGCCACCGTGATGATGAAACCGACAATCAGATAGACGAAATGTCCCACCTTCTCGGACATGCCATCGCGTACCTTTTCTACGTCACTGGGAGAGGGGAAAAGGATTGAGAAATCGGTAAGGATTAAGCAACTGCCGCCACTCACTCGACCATGCTCTGTACAAAGTTTTGTTTGCTCGCCAAATCATGCCAGCCAATGTCCTGCCGCATCACGGAGGTGAAGAGCATGATGCGCATGCGTGAGACCTGCCGCAGGGCCACCACATTGAAGATATCCACCGAAAAGATGCCAGAAATGAACATCACCACCGATGCGATGGTCAGCAGCAGGCCATAGGAGATGGAATCATCGTACAGGGCCTCATTTCGGATCTCCAGAGTGGCATTTGTACTACACGGAAAGAGAGAGAACTGTAGAGGGATTCTTGAGGCTGCATTCTCCCACACTTACAGGGTCTTTCCACCACCAAATAATGGCAATGCATGAACCTTCGAGCTCGTGCCAAACTGCATGGCACGATCCACCAGCATCGATGTGAATTCGCTGTAAACGATGACCACAGCTGGCAGCGTCAGAGCCTTGATGCAGCACATGATGAACCCGAAGAAGAGCCACGCAATATCCCCACAGGTGGAGAAGCGAAAGAGCTGCAGGAAGCTGATGGGCTGCGTGGGCTCCAGTCCTGCGGCCACGGGTGCCTCATCCAGGGACTTGCCATCGGTTGTGGTTGTGGCAGATGCCTCATCCATCTATCAGTAGAGCGAGAGGAAGATAGCGAAGCACCAAGAGATTTATTCACAGACAGATGGACCGCAAAGGTTAATTCAATTACTGGCCGACAACACTCTCAGAGGCAATACACAGTGTCTATAGCTGTGGCAAGGGTACAGCAAATACTTTGTATCTTCTTTGCCATAGTTCTCTCGCATTGACCCGCGGGGTTAACGAGTAATAGAATCTACGTTTATTATTGGACACCATCGAACATTCCAACGCCAATTTGGGAACATTTCAATTCCATTTATAGAGAATCACACAGAAATCTGTGTCGCCATTGCCACTCCTCTAGCAGCGTGGGATATTCACCTTTTAATTGACTTTAAAACACTTTTTATCCTTCAAATACTGTCTGTCTCAGGGCACGGCTTTCTAATCAAGAATTGTCTCCGAAGATCGTTAACCGCTCGCTCGCATCGCCCAAGCGCGACTGATGGACCAGCGTCCATGGAGCCACCCATTTATGTATATTCCAATGTGGATGGGAGTACTACGGCACTCGCGGCCAATCGTTCGCTTTGGGGTTCGCAGTTCTAATTGATCTTCGCTTTCCGCTCTTGGGGTAGGTTCTATCAAAAGAGTATTTTCATTTAAAAGAGAAAAGAAGAATGATTCTTCTCTTCTCCTTATATGAGAGTTACATTTGGGTGAAATTTTATTCATATTAGTAGATGATTTGTGGATGTTCCAATCGCATCTTCAATTAGTAGATTTCTGAGTAATTCCATTTCACATCGAAACTTCTCTGTTTTTATTAGGTAAATTATGATTTTATTTCACTTTAAAGTTTAAAATTAACATACAAGTAGCTCTTCCGCCACTTTATCTTTCATCTGTTGCTGTATCTGTACAAAGGAGCCTAGAATTTTCTAGTTCTGTTTTATACTACAATTCTACAGAGGAATATTTATCTTAATCCTAAAGAGACACAAAGATTTATAGCTTGAATAAAACATACAATAATCGCATATCACATATTGTGTTGTTTGGGTGGCTGCTTTCCAAAGTATTTACACGGTTTAGTGTTTGCACGGGGGTTACAGAATGGTGGAGAGATTCTCTTTATAAAGATTTTTAGGTGTATTAACAATCGAGAAACACTCTACATGTGTGGGATATTATATACAATCCAAACAGTGGATTCTTTTTGCTCTTTTGCTAAATGATAATATCGTATTAGTGGCTCTGGAAGGGTTCTGCTTAAAATCTACAACGAAAGCTATAATCCAATGGATAGTTCTTCTGTCCCCCTCCTCTCAGACATAGACCTCTCCCGTCTTGGCCTCCGGACTGTGTTTGGCGAGGGTTGAGGGTGCCGATGAGGCACTTGCCGCTGTATTCTGTGGCAGCGGGATCGTGGCTCCCCCCAATGATGTGGATGTTGCATCCACTGTATCTGTGGCTGGTCCTGCCGAACGCACCGAAGATCGCACTGTGGGATCCGACAGATTGAAGCTCAGATTGAAGCTGTTGTTCCGCGAAATGTTGCCATTGCCATTCAATGGCTTCACGGACAGCAGGGCTGTGGTGGTGATGCCACCACCGACACCAACATTCATGCCATTGCTGGAGCCACTGTTGCTGTAGCCGTCCTGATCCTGTGCCAGATCCACAATGGACAGGGACGAAGGAGAGCGCTGAATGGACAGGGATACAGGGATCGTGGTGATGACATCATTGGGATCATAGCCACTGGCTGTTGTCGTGATGGTCGGCAGCTGGGCATTCGCTGTGATGGGCAGAATGCTCAGGGTGCCCTTGGGAATGGTGTCACCGCCGCCATTGCTATTCGCCATCGTAAAGGGGAACGACAGCGTCGTGATGTTTGTGGCAGCAGAAAGTGCTAGGAAAGCCAAGATTATAATTTAAATATCTGTGAGCTGGAGTATCTGTATCTGGGGACTTACTGCTGACTGCCGGGAAGCCATCCTTCATGTTGATGGCCTGCGCCAGGGCCGCTGTGGCTGGATGTCCTGGAATCAGAGTGTTATTCGATGAGGATGAGTCCATCTCTTTGATGGGCGATAGAAGTAGGGTGCCCAGCACTTGGCCACCGCCATCGTGCCCCAATTGCATGCCCCCTCCCATACCCATGCCCATGCCCAGACCCATGCCCCCGCCCATGCCCATGCCCGTACTGGTGCTCGTTGTGGTTGTGGTGTAGGAGGAGGGATACATGTGATGCGTCCCTCCACCCTGTTGCTGTTGCAGCTGCTGCTGTGCGCTTTGGTGTTGTGATGGTGCCATTATAACGGCACTAGAGCCTACAGTGGATATACAATATATTTTTGGTGCATAAGTGAGAGGGTGCAACAGAGAGAAAGAGAGACCGGACGGAGCATGCCACTTACCTGGATTCGTGCTGCCATCTTTGGCCACCTCGGGTGTGGGAATACGTGGCCGCGTCTTGGCCACATTCACATTCAAGCCATTTAGCTTTGAATCTAATGAATAAAAAGTGAATATTGTGAATCATTTGTCATTCATTTGTGTTGCATACTCTCGGGAGGTACTCACTTTGTTTTATCAACTGCCTTTGGGCGCGTATCGATTTCCGATGCACAAACTTCCCATAGAGGCTCGGCTTCTGCTGCAACTGGGATCCCCCCATCGACTGCTGCTGCTGCTGCTGGAGCTGCTGCTGCTGTAGGATTGTCAGAGGGAGACCCGACTCGGGACTAGAGTAAACCGAGTTGAGGCGATGCCGATTGAAGGGCATGCCGCCGGAGGAATAGGCCGTCGATTGGCTTCTCATCGAACCCATGCGCGATAGCTGCCGCACGAGCCAATTGTTCTTTCTGCGCTCCACCATGGGTGTGTCGACACTCTCCTGTGGAATTTACATGGTATTTATTGTAGGGTTTACCACTAGCTTTTGTAGACCCATTTGTGTTACTCACATAATCCGCGTAGACATCGTCGCTGAGCATACGCTTGCCTCCGCCGCCGCCTGGCATTATGTTGGCGTACATTGCGTCCTCCTTCTTCACTTTGTACTTCTCGGCGGATCCTTTGGGCTCGTCCTTGCGGTAGTGCTCAGAGGCCACAGTGTAGGGCAGGTCCTTGGGCACAACGCACTCCCAGTACTGGTCACGCAGCAGCTCCGGATGCTCCTCGTGCATCTCATCGACAATCATGTAGGCGGCCTAAAAGCGGGAAAGCAAAGAGGGAATATAAATATGAATTAAAATGCGATAAAAATACCCATTAAAGGATCATAAATGCGTCACATAATCGATCACAATTAAAATTCGATTTAAAGTGGATCGGTAAAGCGGTCGATGGAAATCAGAGAGGAGTGCTGGGCACGTGCTTGCCATTTCCGATGGTAATTCAAGTGGCGAAACGGAGAGAGAGTGATAGTGAGAGGAGTGCAGGTGATAAAGAGAGGCGGGGCTTGAAGGTGTGGAAGTGGGAGACTGGAAGGCGGCACTGAAACCTAATTACATCACAACAAAATACTTATTAATGCCAATCCACTGTTTTTATCTTTTTTGTTGCTTTTATTGTTGTTCCACTTTTAAAACAAAAGAAAAGGCGAAATTGTTGAATTGTAAATGTATTTATTTTTTATGGTTTTTTGGTTGTTCATTTATTTCATAATTCCAGGCCGCACTTCAAAAAACCACAAAACGCAAGTGTCAGCCCACAACAGCAGGTACTTTTATTTTGCAAAGTTGTTACAAAAATTATCAGGTGAAAAAAATATTAAAACTGCGAGTTTATGAAGTTTGTGGATGCCCTTGCAACACCTGCAAAACTTCATTTAGATTTATTAGGAGACTCTGGGACTATCCTGGGAACAGCTGAATATTTCTGCATACACGTGGCAGTGCCCTTCACTCCATTCTCTGCTTTGCTAAACATCTGTTCCGCAGTCATAATACCCTCCATAATTGGGTAGGGTACACAAAATAAAGCTACGAGTCGAGTACTACTCATTTGCTTAATCATTTTGTGGTGCTCTGTTTTTTCCATTTTTTTTCTATTTCCCCATTTATGGGCACACACACGCGTCAATTGTCGAACCGTTAACCGTCAAGAGTCACGTTTGGCTGTGTGTGGGTGTGGGGGGAGAGTGCGAAATAGGCCACGAAATAGATGGAAGCGCGGAATGGTGCTAGAATGTTATTTGCAATAATCTCTTGGGGTGATAAGCGAACAATTTAAGCATTTGCTTCAAATGCATTTCACTCTGCACACCATAAGCTCGGATTTTAAGCTATTCAAAATACACACAAACACAAATATTCGAGTCAAACGAAAAAAAGCGAAACATGCAATGATAAAAACGCTCTACAAAAGAGGTTTCAATGTTTTCAGATTTTAAAACGAAACAAAAACAACTAAAAAAAACCTGTTTTAAATTTACTTTTGTTGTTTCTGTTGCTGCTGCTGGCGACTTGGCTGCTGGATTTTTGTAAATAATTGCAAGCAACAAAACAGCGGCAGACCCACAGAAACACACACAAACACACGCATACAGATGCATGCTGCAGACGGCATTTGTGAATGTGTCGCGATGTACAGATGCAAATATGCAAAAAGCAGAGCTTTAAACTGCAGTAAATGTTCCAGAAAATACTTTCGAGAAGTGCAGTGGACAGTGGAGTGGGGAACTGGAAAGCTGATCTTTCTCGCTGAACAGAGAAAAAGTTCCAAGATTTTACGGTTTAAATTCGATAGCATGAGGATCGGATATTGATGTTCTGATGATATGGTTTGGAAAAACTTTTTCTGCTTGCTATTTGCATACATCTAAGTCAATCCAACATACCCATTTCACTCTTTGGCGTACAGGGTATACAAATCGTAATAAGTTAATCAAATATCACATAAAAAAAAATGGAAATCTATTGGCTTCGATCTGTTGCAATCTAAAGCTGACATACGGCACACTCACACACTGTATTTCTCAGCTAAAAAAATTTCCACATTAATAAAGATTTATGCACGACAACAGACTGCAGCTACTCGCACTCAAACCAGAACTAAAGATAGAATTATGCATAAATATTCCGACTAAGAGATGACTGTTGCACGTTTAAGACTTAAAATTCGCTATGGATTTGGATGAGGAAGAGAGAGAGAGAGTGAGTGTAGCCGGCAGAGAATCTTTTTGTTATTTTTAGCCACGTGGCAGGTAGTGGAGCTCTTCTTTTAGGTACTCCAACAGCATCCGTTTCTGGCACGATTATCGCTTGAAGATTACTGAGAGATCTCTCCACCTTTTTAGCACGCTAACCCAATTAGCGGAGACTCGAAAAAGGCCAAGATCTTAGCAGTCATAATACTTGGAAACCCAACGAACAGATGCTTATAATTATGGATATTATTATTCTCAGACTCTCGGACACTGACTGAATGGATTTTTAAGTATCTAATGGATACACGGATGTAGATGTGTGTGTGTGTATCCACAAGGTCTTTCCATCTTAATTACAGATTTCGGTTTCTGTTTCGAAACGGAGTTCGAATGTCAGTTTAGAGTTATTTTAATTTAATTTGGAAGTAGAATTTTAAATTTAATTTAATTTTCTCGCTAAACTTCATGTTAACTGAATTTAACTGGCAGTTGGACAGGTTTTTGGGTGGAATTTTTTGCTAATAATTTAATGCCAAAATCACGTATACGTCGTGTGGTATTATTGCTGGCTTATTAGTGATTTTTCCTGGTATGTGACTCACCTTTATGTGTCGATCTATTAGCCAATTGAGTTCTATATCATCATCATCTTCGCCAAAGGGATTTATTAGCACCTCGGCCACCTTCAGCCAGCCGACATAGAAAACGAACTGCAAAGAAAATGAGCAAAAAATAGTTCATCAACAAAAGATACAAATCAGTTAATTGCAGCCATAAAACCCGAGGGATTAATTAGAGCCATAAAACTACTTTCCCATTCTCCCATTCACGTAGAAACAATATAAATTAATTGTTAATACAATGCTAGTTAAACACTTGTCGCCACCGCAGATACATATCTATCATATCTAACCATCGCATGGGGAGAAACAGAAAACAAACTTCGGGGGAAAAAGTATTTCTCATACGTGACCGCGCATCGTTTACATAAGAAGGCGGCAGGCAGTAGGCGGCGGCAGGCGTCAGGCGTCCCCCGCGAAGCACTTGAAATCTCCCCAGACAGAACCGCAGAAACCACAGCGAAAACAACCTTTGTAACTGGCCGAATTATGCATGATATCTATAGATTGTACTGTACGTACGAGACACTTCCCCCCTAGAGGGTATCGTAACGTATCGGTAACAAGGTATCGCCATTACATTTGGCGGTAGCCTGCTTGGCCCACAGTTTCACTTACATTTACGTTAATGAGCCACAAATGAATAAAAACAGGCAAAAAATCAACAACAACAAAAAACAGAGAAACCGCAACAAGTTTTTAATATTTGTACAAAACGTCAACGAGACGTGCAAAATTGTTAAAGATTTATGGCTTAAATAAAGCGGAACGTGCAAATTATAAGCAACAACAAAGCACAAATAACTTCTAAATGCTCTTGGATCATTTGAGAAGTGAATATTTGTGTTGTGCCATAAGTCGTGTCATGAGAAATTCAGTGGGGAAAACTCACCTGCAACACTGTGAAAAGCGGGAAATACAGATCGGGATCCTCGCGACCATTGCGATCCAAGACATTGGGCAACATTTGTCGCCCCAAAAGAGCGGCAATAAAATAGGTATAAAGCACAAGGGTAACCACCTAGAAAAAGAGTATCTTGTAGAGTCCGAAATTCGACTAAAGATGGAGGTATTCGTACCTGCGTATAGACCAAAGGAACACAAACCGTATCGTAGCCAATCAGACCACCCAAACGCCTACGAATATCCGAAAGTTCCACCAGAATCGTTTGCACTATGTGATCGGAGGCAATGAGGCCATCCTTACGCGCACGATTGATGATGTTTGTGGCCCAGACGAGGGGCATCCAGTACTTGGACATGGGACTCTTGGCATTCAGAGCCTCGAAGATCTTCATTTCGGACTCATGCATGAGGCCGGCATCCACCAGGTGTTGGGTGGTGGGAAAGCGACGCTTCACACGCAGGGAAATGCGCTGCAGGGTGATGACATAGGCTAGGACCATATAGCGCATGATATTTCTGCGCATAAGGCGACCAGTTTCGTTCTAAAGATCAATGGGGAGGATAGACATAAAGATTACACAGTTTTAGACAGACTTTCGCTGTATTTATCTTACATTGACTCCTCCATTGGCATTGGAAATGGCGGCGCTGATGAAGAGAGCCAAAGTGTCGGGCCAAGGCAGCAGCCGGTACTGTTCCCACCAGCGTTTCACCACGAGATTTACATAGAAACCAAGGACAAAGGACATGGGTATGCTCTCGCCCTGTTGTCCAAAGTACTGACGTATTTTGTTGAAGATGCTGGGCGCGGGAGAGACAATACAAATAAAGGAATATCTCACAAATAATCTGGCAATACTTACGCCTGTTGATTGGCAGTCAAGGCAAACCTATAGATAACATTTATGGTGTAATATAAACAAAGATACGCGACTAATTCGCGCCAAATCAATTTGTAAACACTGCCACGCCATCTGCAAAGAAAAGTGTGAAGGTTGTTAGATGGAATATATTAATATTTCGGCCACTTTGAAGTTGTTTTTTAATGATTTCCTCATTCAATAAACCCCATCCCTTATTTTTCATGCTTAATGGATTGCTGACTATTTTTTCTATGGATATTCTAAGCTTGCATGTCAATTCCAATGAATTCTAATGGGTTATGATATAGCTTTTGCTGGTATTTGTGTGTGGATCGAAACACGCTTTTGAAACTGGTCAAACTCCCCACGAATGGGGGTTTTTCGGGGTCTTTGTTCTGTTTGTTTTGATACAAGGTTCTTCTGTGATCTGTGTTCTGTTGTGTTTCTTCACAGAATTTAGGTTTTGTTATGACATTAGCCTTAAGCTTAAAGCTGCAAGGAGAGATAAATTCGTTTGTCGTTTGGTTTTCTTAATTGTATTGCCCAATTTTCACAGCTTTTCTATTAGAAAATCGTATGAAAATTGATCGCAATCTGCAGGCAATTTTCAGTCAGACTTTTGGCTTTCAATTTTGGGTTCTGTTAGCGAGAACTGCCCTACAATTTATACGGTTACGAGTGACTGCACTTTTGGAAAGCAATTAATGCAAAATAACAAAAGCTCTCCAATAACAGATGTTGGTAGCGGAACTGTCGCTGTCGTTGTCTACATGGCGATTGTTTACACAAAACTTCGATGTTAATTACGTTGGTAAACACACAACTGTCGAACGATGAGTAATAGGGGAAAAAACCCCCCGGAGTAATACGAAGCACTAGGTGCCGGCTGGTGACCCACTTAATCCTCTACAGACTCCACAGAATTATTTCATAAAATGATGTTGTACTCACTTCCATAGGATCTTCCAGAAGCAACCGAAACTGCTTCCATTTGGCACTTCACCCGCATATGAGACGGTCATTGCGGGTCTTGTTTTTTGTTAAAAAAAATACACTTTTTTAATGTTTAATGTTTTTATGTGCCAGAGAAGGCCGTATCCGAATTGTTTGTTGATTGATTTTGTACGCGAATATTTTTGTGGATTTTTAGTTTCTTTTTATTTTCATGTACACATGTTTCGTCGCGTCATTGACAGCAGCGGCTTCGACGACGTCGTCGCATGTCTCTCTCTTTAGAGGAGAGTTCCTCGCCAAAGCGATCTCTTCCTCTCTTCAAAATGGTGGGGGCCTCTCTGGTTTTGTGTGCTACTCTCCTGCAAAAACAAAAAAATAATGAAAATAAATGCCATAACAATAGCTGCAGCCGCAGTGAGAGAACAAGAAAGAGAGAGGTGGAATGACGATCATCGGTAACACGCGCCCCCACTGTAAAAAACTGTAAAACAAAGATATACCACATTCGAATATTTTTTACATGCAAATAACAAAAACAATACTAAAACTAAAACTGAAATTCCCTCACGTTTCGTAGAGTTTTTGCTGTTTTCTGCTATTGCCGTTTTCCATTTCATTTTTTTGCTGTTTCTTTTCTATATTTTTATGTGTATTTGGCATTTGTTTTTGATTGCACTTTCGAAGGGGGCTCCATTTTCGGTATTTGTAAATTGTATTTATTGTAATTTTATTTTTTTTATTGCTCCAGAAAGGCTTTATTCTTGGGTGCTTGTTAACGAAGAAAATGCTACTGAGTGTTAAAGTATCTGCGCCTTGAGGGATTAAATGTACACCACGAATAATAAAGGGTATATGTACATATACAGGAAGGGGCATACTTTGTAGGTCTCAGAGATATTTATACTTTTTTATTTCACGCACTTCACTTTTTTTATATTTTTATTACGATCTTTATTCACCTTCGAGTCAAAATTGCTTTGGGGTTGCCTTTGGCGGTTTTTCGAGTACTTAAAATTGTTTTTGCTGCTGCCAGGATTTCCCCAAAAATATGATCAGAGCAGAAGATGGTGGGTAAGGGATAGAAGGGGCTACACCCTCAATGTCAAAAACATTTTTACATCTTTTAATTTTTTGTTGCACTTTTTTCATCCGAAAAACCTTGGAGTTGAAGCTAAAAACTGCGATTGTTTCTCTCTGTTTTTGATGGATTTCTTGCCCCGTCAGCGCCTTACACTCCCGAAGTCGTTTCCGTCGTTACCCCATTTTTCGGTTTTCTGTTTACATTTTTTTGTGGTTGGTCTTTTGATTTCGTTTATGCTGCGTTTCTCCCCCTAAAATTTTGATTAATCGAATCGAAACTAAATCTTTGATTTTCAAAAACCTGTTGCCCGGCGTAGAGACGTTCGAGGTTATTTTTACTCCTTTTCGTTTGGCCTGGCTAGTCGCCAGGCATACGATTTTTAAAGCTGCAAATATTTGTATTTGCATAAGTGCGAATAACCAGACGAACGGGGCGAGGGCACTGGGGGAGAGTTCTAACAGAAACGGGTTCTCCATCGCTGTATTGGTGGGAAGGTAAGGCGGAATTTTCACTTTAGTGCTGCGTTAATTTCGTTTACAAACATAGCAGGTGATCTTCAGGAATGTACGAATGTAAGATTCCACCAATAAGCCAATGGGGGGATAACCGGTTGGTTGCTGGCAGCCGCCACAAGTCACGATGCCCCGTCGCCGGCGGCAGTACCCACCCACTTGTCCCTCAGACAGCAAGTGGATAGATACAAAGATAGAGAGATGAGTGTTTCCCAAGAACTATCTGATGATGGATATCTCCTCCAATTGTATTGCTGTTCTCTTCAATTACAGAAAATAATGGATGCTGGCAAGTGCCTAATTTGCATAGAGATTTCCATGAAGTATTCTCTCATTTGCACGTACAAATGTCATTGCTGGAAGACTATCATCTATAGGTTTTTTATATGCTAAAATAATTTAATCTATTCCTTAGTATCTCTAACTAAAAAACAACTGCAATTCTTTCGCAATTTGCCTAACAATCCACATCTTCTTTCCGGCTGTAAATAGTCACAGTCACCCATTGACCTGCTCAAAAGATAACTCAAATGTCCACTTCTTTCGTAAGTTATTATCAACACAAACAAACTGAAAGATACATAGATAACAAGATAAATGCCTGAAGGCTGGCAGTCTTCACTGCGGGAAAGGCAAACAGAAAACAAAGCCAAAGCCTACGACATTGATTGGTGACGAAACTCGAATAATTTTCACTTTCTTCTGACGTATTTGGGTCTTTTTATGGCCAAAACCAATTTGCTTAACAAATGAGTCAATGTGGGCTTAAACGGTGGTTCCTCTTTGGACTGACACTTGCACTTTTTGTTCCCCTCTCTCTACGGAAGAGACTGCCACCCTCCCCCGAAGAGCCGTGGCATCAGAATGGAGAATGGTGGAGGATCGATCTCCCCTTGAGTTGTGGGAGTATTTCTTGCCTCATTAGCACACAATAAAAGAGCTACAGAAGCCGACTTTTGTTAGCATTGTTAGAATTTTCCATAAATTCATTAAATACTTTAAATTGTAGCCACTTGAAACGAGGGTTTTATATGGAAAAATAGGCACCTTCTGATGTAAATTGGGAGGGTCAATTAACGTGTTTGTTAAGTAATTAAAGACTTAACACATCAAAACGATGGATACTCGTTGTGCAGAGGATTTGTATGATGAAAATCTCTTGAAAATCGATAAATTTCTGTTGTGAAGAAGTGCATTAAAAAAAATATCAAGAATATTTTCCATACATTTTATAGGATGATAAATCATATGATCTCTTCCCTGAGCAAATTACAGATATTTAATGAACGTTCTATGACAGATTACTACATTAATTTATGGATTAATAATACTCGTATAAAGTTTAAATTTTGTTTGGATTTTCCCATTTTCCATTCATTTATCATTCCGTTTCGTTGCTGTCCGTTCATTTCGGGCTGTGGGGATGTGGGATTGAAGCTTATACAAGCGAATCAATTAATTCATTAACAACAATCTTCTACAGCTATTTATAGCTAATCCCACTATATATTGTGTTATTTCATATGTATCTATGCATCTTTATATCTGCTAGTAATTGCCGCATCATTTAGCCTTTTATTCAATTGAAAAATTGCATTCGAATTTGGCCTGAAGCCAAATGCCGCGCCGCCAACACTCCAAAAAATAAAATACACTTGACTGTTAAAAGTTAAGCTCCGAATAGACAGCGGCTTTACGTGCTGTCGGCCGTCTAGGCCACGCGCTGGCGTGTGCTGTGCGACGCGATGACTGACGATTACAGATCAACAAGATGCAGATGCAACAACAGATACAGATACTTCATACGTGCATCTGTCTTTTCGCTTTCCTTTACAATGTTTCATGTTCTTGCACTTGCACTTTATTTGCTATTATTTTTTTAAACACATTTTTGTTGAGGTATTTTTTTGATGATTACACAGAAAACAGCAGCAGAGTGTGGCGGCAGCAGTGGGAAATGCGTCTGTTTTTTTCGTACATATATTATAGTTTTTTCTCTCTATTGTGTGGTGTTTCGAACCACAGACAGACCTCGAGGGGGGCCCCAAACGAAAGGGGTTCCGCACGATCAACTGGCGATTGGTTTGGGACTTGTGGGTCTGTAAGCCCCAACTCAAAAACTGAACAAAACGTACCACCGCACCGCACCGCGCACCGACACGAAGTCCAACGTCCGACGGGTTTAGCGCTGAATTTATCCGCTGAAGCTCCGATGCCGATGCCGATTCCGTTGTACGACCAGACGGCTCGCCAAATGCTACTAAACTGAGCTCCAGCGTTGGCCACAAGCGGCTCTTAACATAACTTTTTTCCTATAGCTTGGCAACAGGTAGAGGCCCTGCCAGAGACAGAGGCAGATCAGGCACACAGTCGGCATCCATTGAAATTTTCGAGTGTATGTGTGGGTCTATAGACAGGGGTGTGGGTTAAGTTTAGAAGGAGATTATAGAATATATGTGTTTTAGGGGGCTTTTATTAAGCAAAGAGTTATTTTCAAATAATCCAAATGTACGAATCTTTTATTTATTATTTGTGCTTGTGTACCGTACCCCTTTTTGGGGGCCATAAGAGCCAGCCACTGGCTCTTCAAGTGGAGAAGGTGTTTGCACACACTCTCTCGCCTCTCTCTTTCTCTTCGTGCCGCTCTCTGTTTGCTCTCTCTCTGCTGCATTCTGAGTCTGAGAGTCGGCGTTTGGATGTGGCTTTGATCAGCTGTTTTGACTTTAAAGCGAAGATCAGCGAGTGAGAGAGAGCGTAATATTAAGTGAGAAAATAAATGTGCATATTTCTCCCATGAGAGAGAGGAAGCTTAAAAGAGTTTCAAAATCAAGAGATCGATAGAAATACTATAAAATAAATTGGCTATGGGCGGAATGACCTTTTTAATGACCTTTAAAAATATTTTTAATATTTCATTGATAATTATATGGAAAAAAGTAATAGTTTTAGGCAATTCAACGCTTGAATCCAGCCAGATGGAACAGTCCGGCAACGCTCCACACAAGATTTTCAAAAAGGAATTCATACTTTTGGGTGGGTCGCATTACAATTTAGTGAATAAAAAGAGCAGCATACCACGTGGGATGCTCAATTTCGCAGCAGAAATATTCCCGAAGTTATAGTCCTGCAGAAAAAGAGTTATTTAAACTAAAAAATATTTTAATAAATTAACTAATGAACTAAAAAACAAAACAAATTAGCTATCATTAAGATCTATGAAGATTTCTTCTTTGGTGCTTTCTCTGGCTTTGTGCGCGGCGTCGTCTTGTAGCGCAGTCCATGCTCCATGTAGGTGAATGGGGGATTCGGTTGCGTGAGACAAAAGTACAGGCCCCTGGCGGTGGAGGGGTAAATGAGACCAATGTTGATGGTATTCTGGAATTGGCAATCGCTCTGCCGGAATTTGGCCCAACTTTCGCATTTGGTGGCGGGGATCATGACGCCCTCAATGAGTGCCTGAAAGAGAGATGGAGCGAGAGTCAGACATTGAGCGATACCGAGAGATAGAGAGTTATAAGCCCACCTCCATGAAGAGAACAAAGGGATACATGTGGCTGCAGATCTTGGAGTCGCAGCCGGGCTGCAGTTTCCTTCGCGGGAAGTAGCCAATGCCATTCGGATAGATATCGATGTGCCCCACGGGCACACGCACACCAAAGACATCGCCCTCACCGTGCAGCACCACCACGCGCTCTGCCACGCTTTGTTTTACAAGGATATCGGTTGTGCGGCACATGGTCGCAGGATCAATGGCCACCAGTTGGCCCACCTTCTGTTTGGATCCCCTGGCAAAGAGCTGGGCACCCAGGGCGGCAATATTAGCACCCACCGAATGTCCGGCGAGGGTGATGTCCTGCGGTGCAATGCCCGCATCCTTGAGGGCCTTCAGCACATTGTAGATGGCATATCCATGCACCGAGAGATGATGCCGCACCGCATAGTAGAGCTGTGCCACATCCCTAGCAAAATCCACGACAATCACATTAAGATCCCGTCGACTGCTCTGCAGCAGCGATAGATGTTCCTGGACGCTGAAATAACTGTCGGCCGTGTGGAAGGCATTCACGTAGACCAGGGTCTTCCTTTCGGGATTGATGTCAAAGTCTTTAAGCAGCGAAATCGATTTGATGGGCAGCTGAACGCTCTGATTGGTGATGGTCATCACATGGAGTGCCGAATCGCTGGGATTTATGCCCTGAAAAAGTGACATGACGCCCTCATCCACGGGAGCATCGCCTAAAATGAAGAGGGGAAACTGTTTAGAGAAGGGTTCCCGGATTTTAGTTGCCATTTCACACTTACAGAAAGCTCTCCATCCGCGATTCAGTTGCTCTGTCAACAGTTGAATGTTGTGCTTCTGGATAGTCTCTATATTTGCAGGGATTTTTGGTTTGTTCTCCTGTGGAATGGCCATAATCGGTATGATTAGAGCCACAAAGAGTGTCTTTAAGGTGTTTGATGTGATTGTTGCCATGGCCGCTGCTTCTCTCATGGCTAAAAGTGCTGCAGTCAGTGCTTTTATAGCCAAGTTTCTTATCGATGCAACTCGAGACTTGAATCGAGAGTCTCGTCGTCGCTCTCTTATCTGGCAGCTGCTACTCGACTTTCGCTTGCCACATCACGTCTGATGCGCTACCCCTCTGTCTGGCCAAAGTCTGCGCTTCGCACTACCCCGAAAAACACCCGTAAGATAAGCATTTTGACTGAAGAATATAGTGGATATATCTCTAAGATAGACAGCCCCAATCTATGGCTTAACCAACGATTGATTATCTCCTTTTTTTTGGCCATTGAATCGTGCTTTAAAATTAATATGATTTCGTGCCATCAATTTCCTTTATTAAAGAATAATTTTTCATTCATTTTTTTAACCGATTCTTTCTTTGATTTTCTTTCAGATGGTGAGTGCTTGAAGATACATATCTAAGGGTGCTAGGGTAAGATATATTTATAATTTATACTAGAATTTGTTTACGACACGTTTTGGGCTGTATTCCTGCCCGAATTCTCCTACTTGTCGTGTCTTTATTTGTGATTATTTGTGGCTGTAAAATTTGACTAGACTTTGAATGTTATTCAGAGTATCTTTCGATTCAAAATTTACGCTAATTGTTTGCTAATGAGGTAGCGGCGGTTGTTGTCGGTCGAGACTCTCTTTCTCACTTCCTCCCCTGAGAGAAGGAAGTTCCTTGAGAGTTGCCTTAAAAATACGATCCTTAGGAGCTAGAGAACAGAAATTGAGGGGAGTAATTGGGTAATTTTGGGTAGTAATTTGAAAAAAAGTTCATAAATTCAAATCCATAAATGAAAAACCTTTAAAATTTCAACTTAAATTTTTAATTTAAATATTTATTTGTCTAGAAAATAATAAATACAAATGAGAAATGCATTAAAAATAATAAAAACATTTGGTACGGGCAAATACTTGATGCTTTTTTTCTGGGGTATTTTCACTGGATTTTCCCTCGCACCCCCCAACTGCGTGACTAAAATTAGATTTGTCATTGTAATAGGAAAGATTTTGCATCCATTTTTGCTTAGAACTTGAGTCCAGCCTGGACATCGGACATAATGTTGGCCGACTTTTGCAGCTGCTCGATTTCGGTGGGTGTCAGGATCTGCTTGACGACCGAGGTGACGCCATTGGCGTTCAGAATGCAAGGAAGCGACAGGAACACATCCTTATCGATGCCATGTTCACCCTGAAAAGAAAGAGATATTAAATAATGTTCCACAAGGTGTTGGAGGGGTTATCGAGGGCTTACCAGCACTGAGGTAGAGACAGCAGCCACGCTGCTAGTATTCCTGAGAATGGCAGAGGCCAGGGAGGCCGTGCTCAGGCCAATGGCCCATGAGGTGTAGCCCTTTAGCTTGATGACCTCGTAGGCCGAGTCCACCACTTGTTTGTGGAGCTCGTTCCACTTCTCTGGATCCTCGCCAGTGCCCAGAATGGGGTTTAATTCACGCAGACGAACGCCAGCGATGTTGACGCCCGACCATACGGGCACAGAGCTGTCTCCGTGCTCGCCAATGATCCAGCCGTGGCAGGAGGTGGGTGCCACACCCAAACGCTGCGACATGAGGAAACGGAAGCGAGACGAATCCAGATTCGTGCCACTGCCGATGACGCGGTTCTTGGGCAGACCCGACAGCTTCCAGGCCACGTAGGTCATGATGTCCACGGGATTGGAGACCATCAGGAGAATGGTATCGGGACTGTACTGTAACGAAAGTCAAGGCAGAGGGTTAGAGAGGGTTTCTAAAGGAGTATTCGCAGTGAGACTTACCTCCACCAGCTTGGGGACGATATTCTTGAGAATATCAGTGTTGCGCTGCACCAACGACAGGCGGGACTCGCCCTCCTTCTGCCTCACGCCAGCGGTGACGATGCACAGCCGAGAGTTGGCGGATGCCGCAAAATCTGTGCTGGCTGTGATCTGGGGATTCTTCAGGAAGTTGGAGCCATGCTGCAGATCCATGAGCTCTCCCTGCAGCTTGTCGGCGCAGACATCGATCAGGCAAACCTCCTTGGAGACGTTCTGAGCGAGAATGCTGAACGCGCTGGCCATGCCAACCTGGCCGATGCCCACAACGGTGACCTTGTGACCCGAGCTGGGCAGAACTTCGGCCACTTGGGCCAAGAGGCTATCCTTGATGGCGGCCATTGCTGAAAGAGGAACGAATATTCATTAGAATTTCTTACTGGGGACCATCCACGTGCCTTCCTCTCACTTTTGTGGCCAATTATTCATTCAAAATTTTCACAATTATTCACTCGTGTCACATACGCGTAATGCTGCCATAGTGGCGTTGTTTAACCTTCACCAAGGTCGTATTAATGAGAAAAACGCGACATCGCCAGAGCCACACGCAATGACTGCTGCCGCAACGCTGCGTCAGAAGCATAGCCGAAAAAATAGACTTTTTTCTAGGGTTTTCGGTATCTTTTTTTTATAGAAATTCATAGACCGAGAAACTTGTGACCACCAAAGTGGGGATGGGTAAAGATAAGTCTTGTGAGTAGAGTGTAGAGTTGTTTTGCCGTTGAAATTCAATTAGAACAGGTCTTCATTGGGTCTCTGATTTCCACAAATGAAGCGAAAATTGATACCCAACTTCAGACTCAAACGAAATTGCAATATCGGAATGATTTATCAATGAAATAAATGGCGAAGAACCATTACCGGAATGGGAATTAAAGCCCCAATAATCGTTTAATTAATGATATGGCAATGATAATGATAATGCTATTTTTGCTTCCTTAAATATGTGCCACCACCCACCTCTTATCTTATCAGGGAATATCTGGTGAAGCAATTAAGGCAGTTTAGTAAATCCCAAATTATCAATGGACTCTGATGCGAAATATTGATTGTAAATTACTGAGCGATGAGTGGGTTCCCTATAGAAAGGTGATATATAAATAGGTTTGGTTTTTAGGTTTAGTTTTAGTTTAAGGAAAGAAAGTTGAAAAGAAAGAATTTAAATTGTTCCCCATAGAAAAGTTCTAAATTTAGATAGGGTTAGGCTATGACGTTGGAATAATGCGTCAGTCAGTAAAAAGGGGGCCATAAATTGTTATCATTGCGTTATGGAAAGGAGGTTCGCCAATATGTTTGCCATATGCAGACAGATTTTCCACTGAGATAAGATTATTTGCCGGATTGTAAATGCATTCGAGCGAAAAACAATATCATTATGAAAGCACATGTGTCGGTTCACCTTTTTAATGAGATTTCCGGTGCGGCTGCAGGTGATTATTATGGAGAGCGTGTGAAGAGCTTTTCCCTCCGAGTTGGGTTGCGAGTCAAAGCTATCTGTGATATATGGCACCCCACAGAGTGGAACAAAAAGAGCTGTTAAATAATGAATAATGATCGAAAGCCGCAAATGTATATTTTTATAGAGAACTTGGGTTGGGTTTTATTTTTATTCCAATTTCCATAGAAATCTGTTAATATTACAGACACAGCCTGGGGGAATCACTTGTTGCAATCAGCAGGAAAAACTTTTCGGGGCCCACTCGGTATGAATGACCTTCTTTCAAAGTCAAAGGCCCCAGCTAAAAAATATTCACAGCTGTTTTGTGGCACACGGCGCATGCTCTTGAATGAAATTGAAAGTGAAAGCACCCCCCTCAAACGAAAGCACCTCAAGCGGAACCCCCATCGAGCGGAACTGAACCCGGGAAATGCTAAATACCCCACTGCATGGGCGAATGAGGAAGGCCAAGGGCGAGGCTTGAATTCGCTGAGGGATTTGAAAGTTGAATGCACTTTGATGAGGCAGGAAGGAAATAAAAACCCCAAAGTTGCACTTTTGATAGAACAGGAAGCAGATTCTCGATTTAGCAGGAAGTCAACCCCATTTGGAACAAAAATTTAGACACTAAGCTTCGATGACTAAGAAAGTAAACCCCACATTTGGGTGATAGTTTTTCACTTTGCATATTTCTAAAGAAAATTGCAAACACAGAGGAGGCTGCTCCATGGATTTATCTACACATTTCTCTATAGTTTATATATTTAGCTTACTTTTTGCTTTATTTAGTTTTTTGATTCACTTTTGGATGGAAAATACTTTTGTTGGATTATTTGTGTGCGTTTGTTTGAGGTCGTCGACTGTTTGTTCCGTTCACTTTGCGGGTTCGTTGCGAACTGTTTGCTCCACAAATGCGGGCTATGGATGGAATTTGTAGCTTCCCGCTGCCGCTGGATTTTGTAGCCTCTCTCGCTGGCGCTGCTACAGTCGCTGTAGGCAGCGGCAGAGGGCAGCTGGCAGGATGAATGACGAAACTGCCGCAGCGGCATGGTGAAAGTGAGAGCATTGCTCTCTTGGCTTGCTCTCTGCCTCTCGACTGCTGTCTGCTGTCTGTAGCGGTTTTCGCTCTCCAGAATTTTCGGCTCCACCACATTTGGGCCATGTTCGAAGAAGTCAAGGTGACCTTTTGTGCGTCGGGCCTGTGGGTTGCTTGCTGCTGTGCCCACCCGCTGCTCTGCTTCTCTTCTTTTGCTGCTATTTATAGGCCACGTGCCTCACTTTTTTTTTTTTGGGTCTAATTTGATTTGTTTTTCTTTTTTTGCTTTTCCTGGAGCTCGTGGCTGCAGAGGAATGGAACTCCTCCGAGGAGGATTGAATATATAAAAGAAATCTAAGGACAGACGAGGTAGCAAACCCCTCCAGAGGGTGCAAAGCCGGAGCCTTCATTTAATTATTTATTTATTCTTCTGCCATAAATTACTTTGATCTCTGGATATCTGCAATTCATATGATCGTTTTTTTCTGCTCTTGTCCGGTGGTTGTTTTTCTTCAGCGTGCCTCGTGACAACAGCTGGGCTCTCTCTCTTTCTCTCCTCTCAGGGCACGTGCCCAAGAGATCAGTCCATAGGTATAGACTTTTGGCCAAGAGCCCAGTCAGGCGGCTGCAAAAGTGGCACTAAATTAGCCAACAGCTGGCGGAAAATGTTGCATTATATGCG